CAAAAGCTCCACAGAGTCTCTGGCTGGCAACTGCTGTGGCTAATTTTATTTTCATCAGGCAAAGCCCAAGGCAGAGATGCCTGAGAGAGATTGTTAAAAGAGTATTTTTTCATTTTTCTTTTGGCAGTGGGTCACAAACCAAAATGTGAAATGGTGCCAACTTCTTCCTTCTTTGGTGAGAAGAGAAAGAGAAGAGAGAGAGGGAGAGGAACACGGAAGCATAAACTAATCTCCACATAGATGAGCCACACTAAAAGTACTAAAACCGCAAAAGTATGTGGTGGGTGGGCCCCGCTAGGCGGATGGTGGTTAAGGCAGCTGGATCCCACATGGTCAAGCGCACAATTTGAGTCCCGGACCGGATGACTTGGAAATGATGCTGGGCTTGTGTGTGCATGCCCAGGATCCCAGGAGGAGAACCGAGTAGGAGGGATTGCAGCATGGCCATCCCCCCAGGGGCATTATTTCTCACTTTCTCTCTCTGGTAAGCACACATGCCTTATAGTACAAGCACCCCTAAAAACCTTTTTAAAAAAGTGACAGGAAGGAAAATTAATCTGAGAAAATGGACTCCAACTGTAGGCTAGGCATGTGGGATTCATTTTACATGTATTTCATCTTATTAAATTCTCAAAACAATAAAGTAGGAACATTTTCATCCCCCTTGGAGGAAACAGATTAGTGATCTCGACTCACTTTCCAAGATCACACAGGTAATGAGGAGAAGATATGGGATTTAAACCTGGTCTGGGGCCGGCCTCATAGCACGATGGTTAAGTGCTGTGCATGGAAAGCCAGATCCCATATGGCTAATGACAGCTTGAGTCCTGACCCCAGTGGCTTGAAAAGCACCTGCTCATGAGTGTCCAAAATCATGACGGGCTGGCGAAATAGAGGAAGAGGGATTGTGACGTGATAAAGCGCCCTCACTGGAGGGTAGTTTTTTTCTCTCCCTGGCAAGTGCATGTGCCCTCTGACAATTAAAAAAATAGTTTCCTAAACCCTGGTCTGATTTTAAAGTTCCTGTTTTTCCTATTAAACCTTGTTGTTTACATAAAACACTAAGTTTGGAGAAGTTTCTGAAAACTAGAAAATACTGAGAAACATTTATGGAGCATCTGCCATGTGCCAAGCACTATGTAAAGGGCTGTATTTCTGGGTGCTTCAGTGACTGGATCTTTTTTTTTTTTTTTGGAGAGGTTTTTGCTATAGGGCACGTGTGCTTACCAGAAAGACAGAGAGAAAGAGAGACAGAAAGTGAGAAATCACCCCCCAGGGGGGTGGGGTGGCCATACCGCAATCCCTTCTCTTCCATTCTCCTCTCGGGATCTTGGGCACCCACGCACACATGCCCGGCATGAGTTTAAGCCACCGGGTCCGGGACTCATGCTGCGGTTGACTACATGGGAGTCCAGCGACATAGCCATTATGCTAATGCTGGTCCCGAGTAACTGGATCTTTAATCTTATTGCTACTTAGAAGTTCCTACTGGAACCTGACTCCTGAAATTTGTATTTTCTTTCTTTTAGTTTGTTTCTTGAGAGAGATAGAGAGGACAGGTGAGAGAGATACTCCCAACGAGGTCTTCATACCATGATCTGGTGTCTTTTTTTTTTTTTTTTTTGGAGAGGTTTTTGCTATAGGGCACGTGTGCTTACCAGAAAGACAGAGAGAAAGAGAGACAGAAAGTGAGAAATCACCCCCCAGGGGGGTGGGGTGGCCATACCGCAATCCCTTCTCTTCCATTCTCCTCTCGGGATCTTGGGCACCCACGCACACATGCCCGGCATGAGTTTAAGCCACCGGGTCCGGGACTCATGCTGCGGTTGACTACATGGGAGTCCAGCGACATAGCCATTATGCTAATGCTGGTCCCGAGTAACTGGATCTTTAATCTTATTGCTACTTAGAAGTTCCTACTGGAACCTGACTCCTGAAATTTGTATTTTCTTTCTTTTAGTTTGTTTCTTGAGAGAGATAGAGAGGACAGGTGAGAGAGATACTCCCAACGAGGTCTTCATACCATGATCTGTCCCCAGCTTCACCCAGCCTGACTCATGGGCATGTCTCCAGCATGTAGGGGGAGACCTTCACATACAAACTCAAGACCTTCCCACATGGGCCAGCATCAAAGAGCATTATATTATCACTGTGCTGACTCCTGGTGATTTAAAATTGGTCTAGTAATACCTAATTTAAAAATAGTAAGGTGTATTGAGATCTTATTTAATTTTCTGTTTCGATCTTTCCTTTAACTCCTTGAGATAAAATCTCTAATTATGTTGACTTTCATAAATTCCACTCTTTTTAATTTTTTTTTTTTTTTTTAGTTTGCTGTACGGTGCGTGTGCTTGCTGGAGTGAGACAGAGAGAGTGGGAAAGTGAAAAATTACTCCTCCTTCTTCTCTATTCTCCCTCAGGGTTTTGGGCACGCATGCACATACACCCAGTATTTTACTCAAGCCACGAGGTCTGGGAGTCGAAACATGCAGTTGGCCATGTGGGATCCACCTGCCTTAGCCTCCACACCACCTGTTGGCCAACTAATGCATTTTAAAAAGTTAATTTATTTTACTCATTATAGAGTGCATGCATGCACGAGAGAGAGAGAAAGACAGAGAGAGAGAAACTCTATGTGGTGATTCCCCCTTCCCCAACCCTCCAGCTTTTCAAGATCTTGGGCATGTGTGTTCATGCCTGGCATATTTTCAAACCAACCTAGGGATCCAAACCCATAATAAGCCATGTAGCTTCCATCATTAGCGCTGTAGTTCAGTTAGCTACCAACTGCACCACCAGGATGAGCCCTTCCTAATGCATCTTTTTTTTTTTTTTTTTAAGAGAGGATTTTGCTACAGGACATGTGCACTAGCCAGAAAGACAGAGAGAGACAGAGAGACAGAAAGCAAGAAATCACCCCCCACCAGGGGAATGGCCACGCCATAATCCCTTCTCCTCCATTCTCCTTTCAGGATCTTGGGCATGCACACACATGTGCCTGGCGTGAGTTTAAGCCACTGGGTCCAGGACTCAAATCACAGTTGAATACAGGGGAGTCCAGTGACATAGCTGTTACGCCAAATGCTGGTCTCCGTAATGCATCTTTTTAGTCTCCATATGATTTTTTCTCTTTTAAAAAATTATTTAATTTAATTTATTATTACTATTATTTTTAGGTATTTTATATTTACTATAAGGCACATACACTCACCAGAGAGAAACAGAGAGAGAGAGAAAGTGAGAAAGCAAACTGCCAGGTCTGGGACTTGACCATGGTTGACCGTGTGGGAGTCCAGTTCCTAACTACCACACCACGCCCCATGATCTTTTTTCTTTTCTTTTTTACACTAATCTTTCTTTTTCTTTTAAAGCTTTCCCTAGAAAGTCATTTTCAGGAAGCTTTGGTATTTGTTTTAGACACAAATGATTACATAATCCATTGTAACTGAGTGAGATAGACTAGAGAAAGGTGAAAGACAAGGAGAAGGAATAGAACAGAATCAATATCATTTTCTTTTCTTTTCTAAAAGATTTATTTATTTTTAAAATTCCATTTTTTTGAGAGGTTTTTGCTATAGAGCATGTGTGCTCGCCAGAGAGACAGAGAGAGACAGAGACAGAAAGCGAGAAATCACCCCCCAGAGGGGATGGCCATGCCGCAATTCCTTCTCCTCCATTCTCCTCTCGGGATCTTGGGCACGCATGCACACATGCCTGGCGTGAGTTTTAAGCCACTGGGTCTGGGACTCGAACCGCGGTTGACATAGCCATTACGCTAACTGCTGGTCCCTAAAATTCCACTTGTTATTATTGTTTTTAATTTGACCAGAGAGAGACAGAGAAAGAGAGAGAAAGGGAAAGCAAGAAAGCAAGTTGCCAGGTCTGGGACTCAACCGCGGTTGGCCATGTGGAAATCCAGCACTTTTAACCACCATGCCACCTGCTAGCCCTCGACATCACTTTTTAAACCAAAGATTACTTTTCTATACAAATGATAGGAAAAGTAAGGCATACACTGAATATATACATGGAAGTAGTTTCCAAAATTGGGGTAACGTAGTAAACATGGACGCTAACTGTCAATGCCACCATCGGCCTCCTGATTGGGCAGTTTGAGTACATCTTATTTGTTTGTCAAGTCTAGGTCTCAGTCACACAGCGGTTTGTCTATTCCTGACAGTTACAGTCCAACAGAAAATGTCCCATTTGATCTCAAGGGTGGTTAAGATTTTTCTAGGTTTATTCATTTCTTCTGTGAAAGAAACAGAGACAGAGATACGGGCACCTCCCATGGGGTCTTCATGCCTCCATCCACCCCCAGCGTCAGCTGGCCCAGATCGCAGACATACGTGTGCATACCAGAGGGGCTCAGGGAGATCCTACATCATGAGTCTAGGACCTTTTCCTCATAGGTCCAGTTGTATTACCTCTTTACCTCTCTACCTCTAGGCCCACGATGGGTAAGTTTTTAAATTTAAGCTATCTAGCTGTGTAATTATTAGAATCATTTAAGGTTGCCCAAAAAGTCATGACATATTTTTCAAAGTTTTTTTTTTTTTTGTCTTGTTTTTGAGAGTTTTTGCTATGGGGCACATGTGCTCACTGGAGACAGACGGAGACAAAGAGACAGAAAGTGAGAGATCACCCCTAGGGAGATTGGCCATGCCATAATCCCATCTCCTTCATTCTCCTCTGGGGATTTTGTGCATGCATACACATGTGCCTGGCATGAGTTTCAAGCTGCTGGATCTGGGACTCAAACTGTGGTCAACTATGTAGGAGTCCAGTGATGTAACCTTTATTCCATCTGCTGGTCCCATGACATATTTTTCTATGCAAAAATGCACCATGACTTTTCCAATGACCTAATGTTTCCTTATAAGTGATATCGATTTTTTTCAACCATAGAAGTTAAGAAACAAAAACATTTTAACCACTTTTGACACAAGAATTCTAAAAATTCTATAAAGTTAAATATATATCATTAATGTAAAACGTACCTTTAGATGTTTCCCAGCATACAAAAGAATCAATTAAAGACAAGCCTTGCTTATAATAAAATGTAGTTAAGTCTAGCCAATCAGCTTCAAGGGTACTAATGACAGATCCTTTTCTCGTTACTTTCATTGACAAGATGCTTTCCTGATAGGTCCGGCAGGTTGAATCATCATCAAAAACATTGAAGACTGTATATAATTTGTTATCTAAGGGTAGACATTCAGAAGAAAAAAGAAGAGGAAAATTATAATTTTATCAATCCAATTTTTAATTCATTATGAAATACTTCAAGCATACATAAAGAATAATACAGAGAATAAGTCCCATCACTTACCTTAATTAAGTGTTAACAGTATGCTATATTTGCTTCAGACTATTTTTTTCAAACAAGTAAGAAATGGACACAGTTGAGGCCACTATGTAGTATCCCCTAATTCCATTCTCCAGAAATAACTACTATAACAAATTTGGTGTTTATCATTCTTATGGAAACTTTCATTTTTAAAAAAGAATTGTTTATTTATTTATTTATATTATTATTATATTTTAAAAATTTGCTATAGGGCACATGTGCATGTCATCAGACACACACACACAGAGAAAGAGAGAGAGGAAAGAGAGAAGAAGCAAGCCACTAGGTCTAGGACTCAAACCATGGTTGGACATGTGGGAGTCCAGTGCCTTAACTACCATGCCACCTTTTGTTCCCAACTTTTATTCTTTTAATACACATTTATAGAACCATAAGTGTTATATAAGGTTTTGCAGTTTAAAATGTTACAATGTCTGGGCCAGCAGGTGCCATGGTGGTTGGAGTTCTGGACTTCCACAGTTCTGGACTGTCTGCGGTTTGAGTCCTAGACCTGGCAACTTGCTTTCTCACTTTCCTTCTGTCTCTCTCTGATTAAAAAAAAAAAAAAAAATCCTTTAAAAAGTGTTACAATGTGGGACCAGTAGGTGGCATAATGGTTATGTCGCTGAACTCCCACATGGCCAATTGCTGTTTGAATCCTGGACCAGGTGGTTTCAAACTCATGCCAGGCACATGTGCGTACATGCTCAAAATCCCGAGAGGAGAATGAAGGAGAAGGGATAGTGGTGTAGCCATCCCCCAGGTGATGATTCATCACTTCCTGTCTCTCTGTCTCTCTCTGTATCTCTGGTGAGTGTACTCACTTTATAGCAAAAATCTCTCTAAAAAAATTTCAATGTTTTTTTTTTTTTAAAGTTACAATGTTAATAGTATCATACTGCACATATCAATCTATAAATTGATTGCTTTGTTTAACATGTCTTTGAAATGTAAATATTTATTTTAACTACTACATAGTATTTCAGTTTATTATTCTCCTTTGGATGGACTTACACTTTATTTGTAACTTTTTGTTATTATAAGCATTTTTTATGTATAATAACATAAAACATACTTGAACACATGTATAAGAGTAACTCTAGACCATACTTAGACATGGAAATACTGGGTTGTATCTTCTACTTCACTAGAAATTAGCAAATTTTTTTTAAGAGAGATTTTTGCTATAGGGCATGTGCTCGCTAGAGAGACAGAAAGCAAGAAATCCCTCCCTGGTGGAGTGGCCACTCCGCAATTCCTTCTCCTCCATTCTCCTCTCAGGATTTTGGGCTTGCATGCATATGCTCCTGGTGAGAGTTTAAAGCCTCTTGGCCCAGGATTCGAACCACGATTTGCCATGTGAGAGTCCAGTGATGTAACCATTATGCCATCTGTTGTCCCCAAATCAGTGAATTCTATCAATGCATACCTATGGTTGAGTTTTAGAAAGTTTAACATCACCTGTGTAACAGATCAAAGTAATTTGGATTCCATAGATATCACCAGGTACTCCAAAAGGTTTTTTGAGCAAGCCCATAGGTTCCCCTCTCCCCCATATTAAGAACCAGTACCACAGAAAAGTTAAGAATTATACCATTTAAAAATGTTATAAAGCACAATCTAAAGATTGGGTAATTAAATGAAATAATATATTGAATTTAGAACTTAAAGGACTGGAGATAAGACACCTGATTTAATTAAACTCAAGTGGAAGCTGGCATGGGATTTAAAGGTAGTATGGGAGGATAATGAATCGCTTTCTGACTATAGCTCCAATAATTTTTGTTCACTGTGATACTCCTAAAATTTTTACATTGCGGGAAAAATCAAGTTGGTTGTGGTGAAAAAGAGAGAGTGATGGTAGTTGGGTGGACAGGAGTGGTGACAAGTTGGAAAATGGTCTAAATTTTTTCTTGAGAGGTTGTTTATGTGGTCAAATAGAGCTCTGCCACCAAGAAATACTACCACACCAGTGAGTGTTCTGTGCCCATGCTGACCGAAGGACAGGTAACTGCAGCTAACTCCATACAAAGTTAGTTCCGCACCAGCACTGGCTGGGCTGAGCGCTCGCTGTGTACACACCTCTTGTTTAATTCTCACAGTGACCCTGGGGGGGGGGGTCATACTATTACACTTTATGTAAGCATGGAGGCCCTGACTCCAGAGCCCATACTGTTAACTCTGAGGTATGAGGTTTGATTTTCCATGGTAGTGCTTTTATTTTTCCTTTATGAGAGAGAGAGGGGACCTGGGAGAGAGATAGAGAGAGGTATTTTTTCTTTCTTTCTTTTATTTTGGAGAGGTTTTTGCCATAGGGCGCGTGCACTCACCAGAAAGACAGAGAGAGACAAAGAGACAGAAAGCGAGAAATCACCCCCCAGGGGAGATGACCATGCTGCAATCCCTTCTCCTCCATTTTCTTCTTGGGATCTTGGGCATACACACACACGCGCCTGGCATGAGTTTAAGCCACCGGGTCTGGGACCTGAATTGTGGGTATTTTTTCTTTAGATAGACAGTGTGCATGCAAGGTCAAAGTGAGAGAGCGACAACAAGAGAACGCCCTGTACAGGATCTAGTCATACCATGACCCCCTTTCTCTCTCTCTTTTTTTTTTTTTTTAAAGAGGTTTTTGTTTTTTGCTATAGGGCATGTGCGCTCTCCAGAAAGAGAGAGACAGATAGACAGAAAGCAAGAAATCACCCCCCAGGGGGGATGGCCACACCGCAATCCCTTCTCCTCCATTCTCCTCTCGGGATCTTGGGCACGCACGCACACATGCCCAGGGTGAGTTTAAGCCACCGGGTCCGGGACTCGAACCGTGGTCAGCTACATGGGAGTCCAGTGACATAACCATTACAATAACTGCTGGCATGACCCCCTTTCTCTAATCCTCCATCCTGTCAGGTCATGGGCACTTACATATGTCTCCAGTGTGTTTTAGGCTGACCCGGCCAGGGATTTGAACTCCTATCCCCATGCGGGATTTGGTTTTTCTTCAGCAACACTTTACTGGCAGAACCACCTGAGATAGGCATTTTTGACATGGTCTTGCCATGTCACAACTTTTATGCCCCAGTCTTCTGATTAGCTAGGATTACTGGTGTGCACAACTCTGCATGTCATGTGCAGGCTGGCCTGGGACTGAACTGTCCTGCCATGTGGTGGTGCTACCTGTGTGTGCCACCATGGCTGGGCCAGCCTGATAACACCTTTTTTTTTTTTTTTTTTTTTAAAAAAACTTTGGGGCCAACAGGTGGCATGGTGGGTAAAGGCACTGGATTTCCACATGACCAACTCTGGTTCAGGCCCTGGATCTGGCAGCTTGTTTCCTGGTTTCCCTTCTTCTCTCTCTCATCTCTATCAGTTCAAACTAAAAAATAATAACAATAATAACAAATGGAATCAAATAAATAATTCTTACAAAAATTTTATCTGTTTCTTTTTTTAAAAATAATTATTTATTGTATTTTATTTATTCATTCACTTATTTTTTAATTTGACCAGAAAGAGACAGAGGGTGAGAGTGAGAGAGAGAGGAAGTGAGAAAGCAAGCCACCAGATTCAGGACTTGAACCCTGGTCAGTCATGTGGGAGTGTCCAGCGCTTTAACCACCACGCCACCTGCTGGTCCCCATCTATTTCTTTCATGAGAGAAGAAGAGAGAGAAAGATAAGCACCTGAAAGTGGTGATTAAAGACAGGCAAGTGGCATGGTAGTTAAGAAGCTGGACTCCCACATGGCTGACCATAGCTCAAGTGCTGGACCCGATGGCTTGCTTTCTCACTATCGCTCTCCCTGTCTTTCTCAATCTGTCTCTTTCTGGTCAAATTGAAGAATAATAATAAATAAAACTAAATGAATAATTAGGAAAATAAAAAGGAAGACAAGCACTTTAACAGGGTCTCATGCATGATCCTTTTCTTAGTCTTCCCAGCTAGATAGGATCACAGCCCCCCACCCATGCCCGCATGTACAGGTCAACCCTGGGGGCCAACTCTGATCTTCCACATGGTCTTCACAATGCCACCACTGTGCCAGTGCAGCTGGGTTCGACGGTGCTATTTTAAAGCAAGCCCATAAACGTATCAGAAAACTCTGAATAGTCAAAAATACATGAATAAAATACTCTCAATTTCTTGGAATATTTGTTAGCTGGCAGAGGAGAATAAAGCTATTGTTTAAAGTAATTTTAGGCTGCAGGCACTATTGTTATAGTAATTGTTTCATCATGGTGTACCATTTTCATATTCTAGTTGATGATTAAAATAGCCGATTAATTTCAAAGGAGAAACCATCCATGAAATGGGAAAGGCCAAAACTAACATTCTCACACACTGTTTATAAAGACAAACATAAATCAGAACGTCTTTCTTTATAGTTTCACTTCTTTGGAACACATGGATAGCACCCATTTACAAAGGGAGTTTTAGATGGATATATGAAAAACAATCTTCAACACAAAGCTTCATTATGTGGATGGCATTGTATAACCTGCCAGGGACAACTGTCTACAAAGCTGCCCTGCTTTATTTCTGGTTGTAATTTAAAAAGATCATGAAAAGTGTATATTGGTTCATTTAGTCTTTGTAATTTGAAATTTACATTGCATCATATGTCTAAAACAATACAAAAACCAAAATAAAAAAGAAATCAAAAATTTATTTTGCTAAATTAAAACTACTAAAATATTCTTTTTTTTTTTAAGAGAGATTTTTGCTATAGGGCATGTGCGCTTGCCAGAGAGACAGAGATAGAAAGCAAGAAATCATCCCTGGGGGGATGACCATACCACAATCCCTTCTCCTCCATTCTCCTCTTGAGATTTTTGGCACACATACACATGTACCTAGAGTGAGTTTTAAGCTACTGAGTCTGGGACTCAAACCACAGTTGACTACATGAGTGTCCAGCGACGTAAACATTCTATCTGTGGGTCCCACTAGTAGCATACTCTATTTCTATTTATCTAATCTATTACCTTCTGCCTTTCTTGGTTTGGAGGAGCTGGGCCTGCCATTTTGTTCCACTGGACATTGCCCACTTTCATGATGAAGTTCTTCGTCAGTTCCACTTTCAGATAATTGTCCACTTAATACTCCTTCAGTCCAGCTCTTATAGTTTTCATCTGAGCTGTGTCTTATATGTAGCATTGATTCTATATCTCCATCATGGTTGGTTCCATTGCAGAATTTAGATGGTGGGTGATGCTGTGATATGAATCCTACGAATTTCATTCCTCTTTTAGCAGCAACATTAATCTGAGGTTTCAAAAGAGAAGATAGAAAAAAATGTAAACTCCACTCACACTATTTCACTTTACCAATGAAATTTTAGGCTTATCGAGGAAAACCATTAGAAGAGGTGGTAAACCAACCAGTAACTAAATACTCATTCATGAGCTAAAGTTTTGATTTTTTTGGTAATTTTTGCAATAAGGTACATACGTTTGTTGGAGAGACAGACAGATATGCACACACACACACACACATACACACACACACACACACACACACAAAGAGAGAGAGAGAGAGAGAGGGACAGAGACAGAGAAGAGAGAAAGAAAGGGAAAATGAGAAAACACTCCCAAGGGGTTATGGTCATAGCACAATTGCTTCTCCTTGCTCCTCTCAGGATTTTGGACATGCATGGGCACACACCTGATATATTTCATAAATGAAATCAATCATGTGGGAACTGGCTGTCTTAACCACAATGCCACCTGCTGGCCCCAAAACTTATTAATTTAAAATCAAAAGCATACAGAATTGTTTGCTTGATGCTGATAAAAAAAATTACTTAAAAAATAATTATTTTATTTTATTTATTATTATTATTATTTTCAATGTGCTATAGGGCATGTGTACTCACCAGAGAGAGAGAGAGAGAAAGTCCCCAGGTCTTGGACTCAAAGCACAGTCAGCCATGTGGGAGTCCAGTGCCTTAACCACCACGCCACCTGCTGGCTCCGATAAATAAAATTATTGAGGGCCAGCCAGGTGGTGTAGTGGTTAAGGGAGCTGGATTCCAAGTGGCCAACTATGAGGTTTAAGTCCTGGACCCAGTAGCTCCCTGGACGCATCTGTGTATGCCCAAAGTCCTGAGAGAGAATGGCGGAGAAGGGTTTGTATCATGGCCATCCTTCCTGGGGAATGCTTTCTCATCTTCCTTCTCTCTCTCTGGTGAGTGCATGGGCTCTATAGCAAACTAAAAAACAAAAACAAAAATAAAGCAAAGTTATTGAAAGACTAATTAAAAACAAATTTTGCTAGAGGATATGTGAACTCCTCAGAGAGAAACAAGAGAAAGTGAGGTGAGGGGGGAGTGAAAAAGCAACCCCCATGGAAAAAGGTCACCCTGAAATTCCTTCTCCTCCATATCTTCCTCATTTGGAATTTTGGACACACATGCACATACTCTCAGTGTGTTTCTCAAGTTGCTGGATCTGAGACTCACACTGCTCAGTAGGCCATGTGGGATCCAACTCTCTTAACCACCAGGTCATGGGCTGGCCTGAAAGACAGACTCTTTTTTTTTTGGAGAGGTTTTCGCTATAGGGCGCGTGTGCTTGCCAGACCGACAGAAAGAGACATAGAGACAGAAAGCGAGAAATCACCCCCAGAGGGGATGGTCACGCCGCAATCCCTTCCCCTCCACTCTCCTCTCGGGATCTTGGGCATGCACGCACACGTGCCCGGCGTGAGTTCTAAGCCACCGGGTCGGGGATGCGAACCGCGGTTGACTATGTGGGAGTCCAGCGACATAGCCATTACACTAACTGCTGGTTCCCGAAAGACAAACTCTTGACAAACTTGTACATATAAAGCATAAGCCCAATTCATACCTTGACTTTTTTTTTTTTTTAGAGAGATTTTTGCTACAGAGCACATGTGCTTACTGGAGAGACAGAGAGACAAAAAGGGAGAAATTACCCCCCCATGGGAGATGGCCATGCTGCAATCCCTTCTTCTCCATTCTCTTCTTGAGATTTTGGGCATGCACGCACATGTGCCTGGCATGAGTTAAACCACCCAGTTCAGGACTCAAACTGCAGTTGACTATGTGAGAATCCAGCGACATAACTGTTATGCCACCTGCTGGTCCCTATACCTTGACTCTTATTAAGCTTTCTGATCTGATTACATCTTGCTGCTATTGTCTCCTATCTGAGCCAAATATGCATAATTAGATTAGATTCTCTTGATTAAAGAGCAAGATTCTGAAGCATATTACATAATGTGAGTGAAATAATTTGAGACCTCAAGAGTGGTCCCTCCCCCCACTTTTTTTTTCTTTTGCTAGGGGATATACGCACTGATCAGAGACAGACAGAAAGAGAGGGAGAGGGAGAAAACACCCCCCAATGGGGAGTGATCATGTTGCAACCTTTTCTCCTTCATTTCTCTATCCCACTGAGATGGAATGGAAGAGAAAGGATTGAAATACAGCCATCCCTGTTGTGGAGTAATTTCTCACTTTTTTCTCTTTCTTTGTCTCTGGCTCTGGTGGGTGCATGCTCCCTATAAAAACACTTTTTAAGAAAAATGAAGAAAAAGCAATTTTTTAATATGGTCACTGCTTTAAACATTTAAGTTAAATGTTTCTGGAGTGGAGAAAAAAGAGTTATGATGGGGTTTACAAGTGTAAATTCTACAGTTAGAATGAAATGGAATGAAAAGGCCGGGAAGCACTGGGGCACAATCAGAGGGCAGTGCTCAACCCAAGGGGGCGACTGTAACTCAGCTCCAGCCCACGAGGCAGAAGGATTCTGAGAATGGGAGAGGATTGGGGCATGTGGAGTTAGACAAAGGTCTAGGCTGGCACAATATCATTTAGGCCTATAAATGAACACATTGAGATGATAATTCATGAAGCTCTAAAAATAACCATACATTTCCCTTCATGTAAGGAGTCCTGGGAGAGGTGAGGGAGGGGTGGGTAAAGAATCATGGCAAGTGGAAATGAGTGAATTTATGATCAGTGCTTTATCTAGGTCTTACTGGTTGATTTGAGTGAATAAAGGCAGATAGGCTTTTCTATTACAGAAAATGTCATTTAGAAAAGTATGATAGTAGGGGCCAGCAGGTGGTGTGGTTGGTTAAGGTGGTGAACTCTCACACGGTCAACCATGGTTTGAGTCCTGGACCCAGAGGCTTGGAAATCACACAAGGCATGTGTGCATGTGTGCCCTAAATCCTGAGAGGAAAATGGAGGAGAAGGGCCTACAGTGTGGTCATCCTTCCTGGGGGTTGTTTCTCACTTTCTGTCTCTCTCTCTCTGTTTCTCTGGTGAGTGCACGCTCCCTATAGCAAAGTTCTTTCAAAATAAGTAAATACAATAAAATAAAACAGTCTGGTAACAAATATAGTATTAATGACATATTTAAAATTTTTTTTTTTGCTATAGTGTGCATGTGCTCATCGGAAAGAGACAGGGAAAGTGAGACATCATCCCCCGGGGGCATGGCCACACTGCAATTTCCTTTCCTCCATGCTCCTCTTGGCATTTGGACAAGCACACACACACACACACACACACATGCGCGTGAGCACACACACACGCACACCTGCTATGCTTTTCAAGCCACCCGGTCTGACACTTGATTTGCACAGAAGGCCATGTGGGACCCAGATGCCTTAACCACTATGCCACCAGGTTGCTCTGAGGATTGATCTTTAAAAAAAAAAAAAAGAATTATTAAATTTTTTTTATTATTATTATTTCTTAATTTGACGAGAAAGAGAGAGAGAGAGATGATGAGAAAGAGAAGGAGAGAGAGAGAGAGAGAGAGAGAGAGAGAGGGCAAGCTTTCAGGTCTGGAACTTGAACTACGGTTGACCATGTGGGAATCCAGTGTCTTAACCACTATGCCATCTGCTGGCCCCAGAAAACTGATTTAAAGAAATAATTATTTATTCCATGAGTGAGACAGACAAACAGACAGACAGAGATAGAGAGATAAAGCACCACTGGTAGGGTGCTGATGCCACAATCCACCTCTAGCCTCAGCCAGACCAGATCAAGGACATAACATGGGCCTACTATACTGAACAAGGTCTCCAGACATGAACCAGGAACCTTTTTCCCATGTGGACCTGCCTCATGGAGTGTTATGTTTGACTGCTGTGGCAGATTATTTATTTTTACTAAAACATCCTGAGAAGAACACTTGTAAATCTAATCTTAAAAATAGAGTGAACATTTGGACAATATTAAAACTTGACTGAAAAGTCTAGCTGTTCAACAATCAACTCTTTACATAGGCAGCTATTCAAAAATAATATTTGGCATTTCTCCTTGGTCTTGTTCATACACGAGGCAATGTTGAAATCTTTTATGTGCTATGTTTCCTGAAACTTTTCTGTTCATGAAATCACCATTACTCTATTGCTGAGATAATAGTACTTTCCTGTTTAAGTAGATCTTTAACTATGTCTAGGAAGTCAAATGCAAAGCAAGGGCTCTCATGGTGATCTATTAAGACTAAATTAAGGACCAGTAGTTGGCATAATGGCTATGTCACTGGGCTCCCATGTAGTTGACCGTGGATCAAGTCCCAGACCCGGTGGCTTAAACTCACGCCGGGCGCATGTGCGTACATGCCCAAGATCCCAAGAGGAGAATGGAGGAGAAGGGGTTGCGGCGTGGCTATCCCTCCTAGGGGGTGATTTCTCTGTCTTTCTGGCAAGTGCATGCACCCTAAACCTCTTAAAAAAAAAAAAAAGACTAAATTAGTAGCTACTTTTTTGTTTTCAAAAGAAACTTTCTGGACTGGATTTATTCCAAGAAAAAAAAAATTAAATTTCTCAAATTTCTCAGAATAATAGTAGAAAGCAGTATGTGTACTTTGTTTATACAAATTTAGTCTCAAAAACTGTTCTTAACAAGTCCTATTGAGTGGTGACTTTATACTTGAATGGGAAATACTGGCTGTATGCAAACCACAGAGTAATATTGCACACATGGTTACTTAAAATTTGGAAACAAAGATAGAAACAAATGAACAAGTTTCACAGTTTCTTGTATGAAAGGAAATGCCTTAGGTCTTTGGCTGTATGCATTTAAAGACAAGTTAAAACCTTATAACCACAAAAAGAAAAATGTTACACCATAAAATCCCATAAATTTAGAATATTTATGTATGGATAATTGTTTTCTTGGTTTTAACCAATATACATATGGTGTTCAATTTCCATCTGTTTCGGCTACATTGTATTGCATAGACTTTTCTCTCTTGACAGTCAATATAGTTGTCATGTTT